CACCCCGCTGTCTCACATTAGTTTTGTACACGTCTTAGCCATGATAAGTGTTTTTTGCAATTTTTTATCGGGGTTCAACACCCCATAAGACATAAACAGGTTTTTCTAATGAATGCAGAGTACTTGGCCCTAAGGAAAGACTAAAATACTAAATGTAGGCATGAAGGTTGGGACAATGAGGCGCTAAAATAAATTTTATATATTGACATTAAGCATAAACATCTACACAAGACGCTCTTTCACTAGGAGGGTCACACATCCTGCAGCAGCGTAATGGGTCTAGGGTCTATCTTTTACATCCCATAATCTTAACAGGAAACTGGAAAAAAAAAGGGGGGGGGGGGAGAGAGAATGTGCAAGATGTAATGGAACAACTGAGTAGCTTAATTACCCATTTTGTCAGTCTGGCTGCCCCCCAGTTCCGGCGACCGCTCCAGGTCCAAATCGATGACATTGCTGGTGTTGACAAAATTCAAATTTCCTGGGGGCGGAAAAGGAGGAAGTTTCAGTAAACAATCTGTTCCCAAAAAACAAAGGAGTAATACTCATTTTGACAGGACACCCCCCGTATAATAACAAATTCATCTAAAAAGATAATCAATTTTCATTCCTTTACTTACCAAAATTATCAATGATATGCATGCAAAAAAAACCTAAAAAAAAAAAAACTGTCAACAAGATCAATACTATAAAAAGAGGGATACGAAGATCTGCAAGTATCCATTTCCATTGGGGTAAAAAACAAAGGAGTAGCTCATTTTGACAGGACACCTCCCGTATAATAACAAATTCATCTGAAAAAACAATCAATTTTCATTCCTTTACTTACCAAAATTATCAATGATATGCATGCAAAAAAACTAAAACAAAAAAAACTAACAAGATCAATACTATAAAAAGAGGGATACGGAGACCTGCCAAGTTGACTTATAGAGTGCTATACTGGCCAAATGTACTCTTCCAGCTAAATCCTTCAATAATTTTATGTCTCACTTTCCCCTTAAGCAATACATGTAACAAAAATACATGTCTGATACATTAGGATTTTTTTTTGTTCTGAGTTTTCATCTGAACTTAAAACAGAGAACAGCTTGATAAGTCTTTTTTAAAAATCAGGAATGGGGAGGGGGGTGGGGGTGGAGAGTGGAGATTCATATGAAAATTATAGGCCTACATTACCAGACTAATTATACATCATATAAAAAGTATTAAAAAGAAAGAAGATTGAAGGACTTTGTAGCAAAATACACTGCATCCAAAATGTGAAAACAAAGAAAAAGTTTATTATTCAATTCACTACCTGTACGCTGGTAAATTTTAAAAAGCTGAATTGAAGCAGTATAAAATCATTATCCCCAGGTTGTTTTGTCACAAAATAATTTAAGCAGTAAAGGTTAGGTTTCAATGTGCAATGGAAAAGGAAATCCAGAATTTGAATATCAGAGATGACCCATTTCGTCACAATGCCCTACATATATATATATATATATATATATATATATATATATATATATATATATATATATATATATATACAGATCAGAGGAATGTAAATCAGAATGTATACCACTTCTTTCTTACTTACCCGCACTCACTTCACCACCAGTATTTTTTGTACCTTCTGCAGCAACAGCTGAAGAGTGCTGAAGTAGAAAAAAAAAAATCACAGAAATTTTCTTAAATAATGTTATAAAAAGTTTTCACATTAATTGGGCATTAATTTTTTTACATTGTAAAGTTACCTGCAGTACAAAGATATTTTCTTTTATTCTATTTAAAACACACCGCATATTTTTCTCATTTTCTTATTTTCACTGACACAAGCATCATGAAACCTAGAAAAACTCAAAGTGGGTCTAAAGGAACGGGACTCTGACAGTGCACTGAAGAGGCTATCAGTTGAAGGGAATTGTGTTAAGAATTATCAGAATTATCGCACACAAAGTCACAGGAATAAAAATGTCTCCAATGCTGTGAATTACAAAGGAACCTGTCCAAGATGATTACCCAGTGTATTACACACAAAAAATGCCAGAGCGAGGACGGGGTTGAGAAGTAGTCATTTGTACAGGTGATTGTCTTGGACAGGTGGTGGCTAGAGCAAGTCTAACAGTAGTTCAATACACAAACTGAAGGTACAAAAAAAATACCAAATCTGCACCATAAAAAATTTCAAAACTTCTCATACAATACATGATAAATAAATTGAAACTTATCAAAACAAGATTCCAAAACCAGAAAAAAAAAAAAAAAAAGCTTACTTGTTGAGACATTTCTTTCGACTGAAACAGGAGGACACAGGAAAAGAAAAATGACAAATATGCATGACTAAAAAGATAATAAAAAGCTGCATTTTTTTATATTGCCCTCTACGGAACTGTGGCATGGACATGAGAGAGAGAGAAAGAGAGAGAGAGGAGAGAGAGGAGAGAGAGAGAGAGAGAGAGGAGAGAGAGAGAGAGGAGAGAGAGAGAGAGGGGGAGAGAGAGAGAGAGAGAGAGAGAGAGAGAGAGAGAGAGAGAGAGAGAGAGAATGTTGTTCTACAAAAAAATACCTATACATTCACACAACTGTCTTTCTGCCCTCCTTCCATCCATCCATCCATCCATCCATCCATCCATCCATCCATCCATCCATCCATCCATCCATCCATCCATCCATCCATCCATCCATACATACATACATACATACATACATACATACATACATACATACATACATACATACATACATGTTGGTAATTACCTTTA